CCAGATACTGTAGAGAACCCCTGGAGATACGAGAATCGATAATGGACTGAACCTCATATTCCCCATGAACCTGAACAAGGACAGGAATATTTGTTACAAAAAAGAGATTTCAATAAAGATACATGAAAGGATATGCAATGCAGGAGGCAACTGCAACCTGTAAGAAACAGGATTCAAAAGTCGTAAAATCTTGTAAGGACCAATGAACCGAGGAGCGAAGTTCATGAATAGAACTTTCAAACGAATGTGCTTGGTACTTAACCAAACCTTATCACCGACTTGATACGTGGAAGCTGCTTGTCTACGTTGATCAGCATTTTTCTTCTGAAAAGAAGACTGATGTGTCAGGATGTGCTGGATTTGTTCCCATTTCTCTTGCAGGTTCTCCAAATATTTCTCAACTGCAGGCATGGAAGAATAGAATAGTAGGATGAAACCCATAATTGAGATAAAACCTGGAGCGTATTCAGCCCAGGGAATCAAAGCCGCCCAATTGTCCTGATTATGTGAAAAAAACATCTTAAATATTGTTCCAATGACTGATTAGTTCTTTCAGCAGCCCCATTAGACTGCTACATGGACCACCAGGGCTTCTCCATCGGACCACCAGGGATTGCCTTGTACTGTTCCTCCTCCCAGGTAAAGGTAAGAAAGGAGGGGGGATATGAAAATGATAATTACTTTTTTTAATAAAAAAAATAAATAAAAGTATATATTTATCTGCCCTCCTACCCCCACAGACCCACAATACCTCCCCCCATACACACACATTACCCCCAGCGCTCCCTCCTGTCACTCCCTCTGTAGTAGTGTGGCCGAGCCCTGTATAGTCAGCGGGTACAGGGAGCAGTGTGTGCACTTCCTGTTAGTCCGGCCGGGTACAGGAGACAGCTGCTCCCTGTACCCGCCGACTATACAGGGCTCGGCCACGCTACAGCAAAGGTAGGGGGGAGGGGGGGAGAGGGGTAGGGGAAAGAGAAAGGGGAGGAAAGGAGAAAGGGGGTGAGAAAGAGGAGAAAGGGGAGGTGAGAGAGGGAGAGAATTTGAGAAATGGGGGGTGAGAGAGAGAAAGGAGGGAAGAGAAATGAGAATTCAGAGAGAAAGGAGGAGGGAGAGAAAAGGAGGGGTGAGAGAAAAAGGGTAGAGAAAGAGAAAGGGGGTGAGAAAGAGAAAGGAGGGGTGAGAAGGGGGTAGAGAGAAAGGGAGGGTGAGAGAGAAAGGGAGGGTGAGAGAGAAAGGGAGGGTGAGAGAGAGAAAGGAGGGGGTGAGAAAAAGGGGGTGTATCAATTATGGGGGGGTGTAAATTATGGTGGAGTATTAATTATGGGGGCTGTATATTAATTATGGGGTGTATTAATTATGGGGGAGTATTAATTATGGGGGGTGTATATTAATTATGGGGGTGTAGTATTGTGGGGGAGTATTAATTGTAGAGGGTGTATATAATGAGTATAGGGGGTGAATTAATTATAGAGTGTATTAATTATAGGGGTGGATTTAATGATATAAGAGTGTATTAATTATGGGGTGGATTAATTATGGGGGGTGGATTAATTAAGGCAGAGTGGATTAATTATGGGGGGTGTATTAATTATGGGGGTGTATTAATTATGGGGGGTGGATTAATTAGTGTGGATTAATTATGGGGGAGTGGATTAATTATGGGGGAGTGGATTAATTAAGGGGGTGGATTAATTAGTGTGGATTAATTAAGGGTGTGTGTATCAATTAAGGGGGGTGGATTAATTAAGGGTGTGTGGATGAATTAGTGTGGATTAATTAAGGGGTATGGATTAATTAAGGGGTATGGTTTAATTAAGGAGTGTGGATTAATTAAAGAAAACCTTTAACATTTTTTACAGGTTTTTTTTGGGGGTGCCAAGCACAGGATCCGCCCCGGGTGCCAAATGCTCTAGGTACGCCCCTGCCCTTCACACAACCTGCCCCCCACACACGCACTGTACCCCTCACACACCCACACAGTACTCATCACACACAAACTGCCCCACATACACACATACACTGCATCCCTCACACACACACTATATCCTTCACAAACACAATGCACCCCTGTACACATACTGCACTCACACGCACACACTGCAACCCTCACACACACTACACCCCTCACGCACCCTGAAACCCTCACACACACTACACCCCTCACGCACACTGAAACCCTCACACACACTACACCCCTCATGCACACTGAAACCTTCACACACACACATATTGCACCACACACATACACACTACTGCCCCTATCCCCTACTACTGCCCCTATCCTGGCAGATCCCAGGTAAGATGTCAATCTTAAACCGTTTGACTACTTAGCCTGGGAGGGCACTAAGGCACTCCTGGCACCATAACCACTTGATTGTTTCTTTAAATAATCTACCAGTGCCTCTCCCAAGATTCTAGTTCTGCGCTCGAACAGCAAGCATTTCTGCCGAACAGGGGCCCAGTATATGGTGCAGCACTGTACATATATACAACCTAGAACAATTTTTTGACTTAGGGCACCTTGGAAAAATATTTAAATATTAAGAGGACCTTGAACCTAAAAAGTTTGGGAACCACTGATTTAGAGATTGATCTTGACCTTCGGGCTGCATTTTCACTGAACGTTTAAACAAAGTTTGTAAAGCCTGAGCGAACTGATCCATCCAGACGCATATCATGAGAGACTGCCAGAGGGTTAATATCTTTGGCCATGTTGCAATGTCATGATATGGGTTACCCAACACGCAGAATAATTACCCTCCTATAGATAAAATAAATCCCTAAACCTGTCCTTAGAATGGTCGGACTAAATAGGAATAGGAATAGAATAGTCAAAACAGGCCAAAGTCAAAGGGAACTATCTGATCAGGCAGGAAGATTGGAGGAGGCGGTCCGCCCTATAGGAGAAATAGAACTGCCAAGGTAAGTACAGGATTCTTTACATGCATTGATTTTTATGTCCTAGTAAACACTTCAATCACTTTTACTTTGTCGCTCACTTCCTGGTATATACATACTTAGATACCCAGTCATAGATGCCCATTTGCAGGTACATATTCACATAGACACACAAATATATGCAGACACATAATTACTCAGATAGACACAAGCTATGGTATCTAAGATTGTATAGCCTGCTTTATTCTGCTGGGCAGCATAGGTGAGAGATATTAATATAATAAAATCATGATTTTCATTATTTAAAGTGAGCATGCAAATGCTATTACAGTTTAATTTAGTTGAAATATTATGATTTAAGCAGCAACCCTATTTTTTACTTTCAAGTTGGGACCTGCATTTTTATTATTTAAGAATATTCAATCTCTCATTCTTTGGGAGTAAAATTAAAGACATAGCTGCATTGCACATTAGTAATAGTAACTGTTAGTAAATAGTTTTTTTAAAGGCTAGACTAGAATTATTTATAAAAATGCAGAAAGTAACTATAAACATGGCTAGATTGAGAACATTTGTATATCTGAACACACATAAAAGGCAGAAAAAGCAGTCCTTGCATATTCTAATCTAAAAGCAAAAATCAAACCTTAATGTATAATTCACACAAGTAAATTCATATCGTCTCCCACAACAAACCCACAAAATTAGAATTCTGTGCAACAGTGTGAACTAAAATATTTATTTCAGAATGACCAGACGGTGAGAACTTTAAATTGCATTTCAGGTCCTAATATAAAGCATATAATCCTATTTATATTCAGATTAGGTCGAAGAATCTATCCCTTTAGAGTTCTCTATTTCATATGCTTCCTTAAACCAAGCTTGTTTTTTATTTTCGTTAATACATTTCCACAGCATTGTACCAATGTGCTGGCAATTTAAATATATAAGGTAAATATTTTTCTCAAAATATACTTTCTGAGACCAAGAATAAATATACACTTCTGAATTTGCAGACAATTTAGTATGTTGCAGGTTGATTGGGTGTTATCATTGAGCCATGTAAAGATAATCTATTGCTAAAAATGCTTTTCGAATGCATGGATAGCAGTTTCATAAGGTCAGTAAGTGCCTGGTTTATATTTTGTAAATGTTTTTCCTAAACTCTAAATTTAGTGTGATTTTTGAATGTATAATAATTGTTCGTTGAAATAGTCAGTGTACTCACTGATTTGTTTTTTTTTATTAAATATCTTACACTTTTATAATATAATGTGCATGTTATACTGTATGTGTATATATATATATATATATATATATATATATATATATATAGTAGAAAGTAGAAAATACACTGTTTAGTTTGACGTGTGCTAGTCCTTGGCACATAAAATGTACAATGGCATGGTTGCATTCATGGTCTTTTTTTAGCAAATCAATCCTTTATTGTTCCAAGAAGTTCACAATAATTTCAGTCCAAGTTTAGGACTCAGGACCAAAAACCAAATGCCTAAAAGTGCAATTTAAATATAGCTAAAAAAAAAATAGAAGTAATTCAAGAAATCCACTTACCCTTCAGTGTTCTCAGGTGTGATTAGCGTTGTTGATGTGAAAGTGCACTTGCGCGGGCGTATTCTGACTCCACCATGATGCTGTCACACGTTCCCATTACTATGAGGACTGTGTTCATGCCTGCCATGATTCAAATCCAAGTACACTGGGAGACGGGGCCTGACCATCATGGTGGAGAGACATGTTTTACAAGAGCTCCCAAACAACTGTAAGCATTGCAGCCTGTTAACAAGCCATCACACTAGATTTGGGCCAGCATCAACAACAAACCTGACTTTCATGATAGAGGGCACACAGTGTGGTGATCAGCGACCCGACAAGACCTTACTTACCCCTGACTGGAACATGCGGCCCGGCATGCATCGGATGGGAGAGTCCAGAAGCACCCTGCAGCAGTCGATGGGATACACATGCCCTGTTACACCCCTTTGGACCAGTAGGGGTGATCTCGGTCCTCCCATGGCAGGCTACCCTGATACAGTTGGTATGTGGGGAGGGCTATGCAGGAAGATGGTGACCTACACAAAATGGCAGACACCACATGCATCAACAACTTCAGTGCAATTCAACTCAATGTAATGAACAGATTGGACATCACTTTCACCAACTTCTGGCACAAGCTGGATCAAAAACTGCATCAGCCTACCCAAACACAAGTGAGTGATCATTCTCAAACTGCGGCTCCAGTGATCCAGAGCTCCCTAAAATGGCAGAAGAGCACACGAAAACCCTCACTCCTGCTTAAGGTGACACAGAGGCAGGCTTTGAAGCGCTCTACTGCTGCACCACGAGAGGAGATTGCACAACTGGGCAAACTCCAGACCCTTGTCTTTGAATGTACCAGCACATCCTCAACCGAACTCAGATGCTTGCAGCATTCCTTCTTGATGCGGGACTGTGTTCTGTCCCTGAAGGGTATAGGATGATCTGGGACTGATGACTGATCGATCCATAGCTCCCAATTACTCACCTTTCCCACCATGTTGAAGCATTTTGGGAGAATTATCTGATCTGTTGTCTACCCCTCTACCCATACTCTTAAACAGCTGTTGCCTTGTGTACCTCTGACCACTCACCCACTCTCACCTGACACTGTGGTGGCCACCTATGGGAAACACTCTGACCAATCTATGTTACCTCTCGTTTTCTCAACATTCTCACTATATAGATCAATCTCAGTGCAGACAGCTTGCTCAATCTCTGACTTAATGTCTAACTCAATCTGTACTAAGTTTCTACTTATAACAATTATATAAAATATAGGATGAAATTTTAAAATAAGTGAGATAAAAGTCCAAAACACTTATCGAATGTCCGTTATAGTAGTTTCTCCTTGTAGAGACAACAAATCTTGGGACGTCAGACGGGGTTGAGACTTCACAGTGATGTACTTGAATCCGGTGAGGTATGTATATAAAAGGAAAACAGAAAAAAAGGAGAACTCCAATGGTACAGTATATCAATCACAGTATGAATATTAAGATAGTGCAAATGGTCCTACTCACACTTTTTGGAGCTAGAATTTAGCTCCAATATATGCGTGTGAAGTGGAATGATCCCCACTCATGGATATGTAGAGTAGTGCTTAATTGGAGAGTTCTTGGTCCGTGTTCAGTGTTCCAATCAATTTGACCCAAAATTGAGAGAATAAAAAATAGTGCTCTCTGTTTGTGATATAAAGTGATGGTATATAGAAAATTACTTACACAGTATAGGGCAGATTTGTACTGCTTAGTATAGGCGTTTAGGTGGTATAATCCCCACCCCTGGATTCTTTCAATTCTTTGTAGATGTAGGTAAGGTGCAGGTATTAGATAAAATAAAATAAATAAATATAAAGAAAATGGCAATAAAATATTTTATGCCAAATAAAATTCTTTATTAGAGATAAATAAAATAAATACTAATAATATCTAGACGCGTTTCGCCTCAAAAGGCTTCTTCAAGTAGATAGTTATAAAGCTTTTCAGTTATAAAGCTTTATAACTATCTACTTGAAGAAGCCTTTTGAGGCGAAACGCGTCTAGATATTATTAGTATTTATTTTATTTATCTCTAATAAAGAATTTTATTTGGCATACAAAACAAGCTATGTAATTTATAAACTCACATGCCCATGTGGCATGGCATACATTGGGTGTTACTGCAGCCAGAGCTGGGAGGAAGGGACAGCTTGTAACTACTTCCTCCCAGCTCACACACTGAGCATGCCACGTGTGAGAGGAGCGGGCGGGGCAGGTGCAGTGGACTGGGAGAGCAGCAGGACCCCAACACCCACCAGACCAAAGCCAGCCAAAAGGTAGGATTTGTGTATCTGTATGTTTGTGTGTGTAGTGTTTGTGTGTGTGTGTGTGTATCTGTATGTGTCAGTGTATCTGCATGCGTGTATCTGTATGTCAGTGTATGTGTCTGTGTGTCACTGCATATGTCACAATATGTGTCAGTGTATCTGTATGTCTGTGTCTGCACGTGAAAGTGTGTGTATCTGTATGCATTAGTGCATGTATCTGTGCATCCATGTATGTGTATCTGTCAGTGTATCTGTCTGTGTGTCAGTGTATGTATCTGTATGCCAGTGTGTCTGTGTGTGTATTTGTATGCCATTGTATGTGTCTGTGCGTCAGTGTGTCTGTGTGTGCATCTGTATGTCAGTGTATGTGTCTGTGTGTGTCACAGTATGTGTATCTCAGGGCTCGATAAATCCCAGGCACCATGGCGACTAGGAATGTTATCCTTGCGCCTGGAATATGTCGGCCCAGAGCGGCAAGGGAGAATACAGGTGGCCAGTCGTGGGGAGCAGAGGTGGCCAAACAGCCAGCCGTGGGAGAGCAGAGGCGGCCGGCCAGCCATGCAAGAGTGGCAGCCAGTCTTGAGGGAGGGCAGAGACGGACCAACGGCCGCTGTGTGGAATAGACCCAAGGGGCGGGGGAGTGAGCTGTCATCTCCCTGCTCTGCTCCCTCGTGGGCCCTGCAGGGATGCCGGTAGCCCGGAATAGGACATCATTCTGGCCCCTGGCACATTAAACTAAACAGTGTGCGACAGGGCCAACAGCCCCACTGGACCCCAGGGAAAGCCTATCCACGCCACCTCTCCACTAGGTAGGAAACCTGGGTGGGTTTTAATCAAAAGAATTTTAAAAATTAATCTTCTGCGTGTGTGTGTGTTTGTGTGTGTGTGCCTGTTTGTATGTCTGTCTGAAATTTTGTGTGTGTGTCTGTCAGCGAGTTTGTGTGTTTGTGTCTGTCTGCAAGCTTGTGTATGTCTGTGTGTGAGTCTGTGTGTGTGTCTGTCTCATAATGAGTGTCTGTTTAGGTGACAGGTCCCCCTCTGATTACATGGGAAAGGTGATTGTACATACCTGTTTTCCCACGCTGTGACAGTCTCACCGTGGCTGAATCTGCCTCCATGGCTGAGATAATCTATCTTGATGATCTCAGCCACGCAATGCTTTTCCATAGCAAAGCATTGGGAGGCTATTGTGCATGCACTAATCTGCATCTTCTCAAAGAGATACACTGAATCAATGCATCACTATGGGGAACATTCAGTACCTCCATGCCGAGCGTGGTTTGAGTGATGACTAGAGGTGTTACTAAGCGGCAAAAACACAGTTTTTTATCTGAAAAGGCAGTGTGAAGAAAATAGACTGAGTTCGGTATTTTCTTCTTTTCTGCAGTATTTTGTTCATGTTGGATCTATTAGTTCGGTAGTTTAAAACTACCGAACACCGACCACCCTCCTGGCTCATTAACTTCAAAAGAACCGTTTATTAAGCGCTCTCTGGACAGCCGCTGTTCGTATAGCCGAATGCCACGTGGAACAGAAAATGGCGGCCATCTTGTTTGCACGAAAGGGGACAGCGGGATTTGGTCGTCGAGTGTCTGGAACCAAAATCGGACACTCAACCTCCCGAACCACCGCTGAAACTACCGAACGTCTGCTTCCTTTAGTTGCCGAACAGCCAGGAGAGCGCCATTCGGTAGTTTGGTTCATTTGGATATGTTGGTCCCCCAGAACGGGGCTATCAGGGGATATGTAATTTGTGGGGATACCTTGTGTGGAAAGGGGTGTTCTAATTTTTGGGGAAATTGTGTGCCCTCTGCCTGGAGATAATTAACTTATCTCAATATCTCCCAGGCAGAGAAAGGGCGGGGGTTACTGTAAATCTGTATGTTGATTGGTTATTGTCTTTCTTTGCTGTGGGAGGTTCTCTTGCAGGGGGATTCTCATAAAAGCCAGTGTGATTCCTCTTACACCCTTCATGAAGTCTAGACTCATGTTTGGGGAATATTCTACTTGATGGGGAGAATCATCTTGGAAGCTGTATTCATCTATACTATTCCTCTACCTCCTAACTGCAGTTATAATCACTTATGATCAGCTATTGGGAAAGGAGTAGGAGACCGCAGTACCATAACCATTGCAGGTCTTAACAGGCAGTGTTTACGTCGAAAAGCCTGAAGGGACACCAGACACCAGAACCAATACATTAAGCTGTGTGTGTGTGTATGTACGCCTGCTAGTGAGTGAGCTTGCTTGCATGTGTGTGTGTGTGTGTGTCTGTGCCTGCTAGTGAGTGAGCTTGTGTTTTTATGTCAATTAGCTTATGTATATCAGTGAGATTGTTTGTATGTATCTGTGTGTCAGTGTGTGTATCTCTGTGTATCTGCATGTGTGTCAGAGTATGTTTCAGTGTGTTGTGTGTCAATGTGTCTGTGTGTCAATGTGTGTACCTGTGTGTGTGTGTCTGTGTATCTGCATGTGTGTCACAGTATGTATCTGTGTGTCAGGGTGTCTGTGTTTCAGGTAGGGATGCACCAAAATGAAAATTCTTGGCGAAACCAAAAATTCAGGATGCCCTTGGCCAAAAACCAAAACCGGAAATGACTTTTTCCACCAAATGATTTATGTAAGTTGTGTAGTGTGTGTATGGAATATAGTGAGGTGTGGGAAAGAGATGTAGTATGTATGTGTGTAGGTTATGTAGTGTGTGGATGGAATATAGTGAGGTATGGGAAAGGGATGTAGTGTGCATGTGTGTAGGTTATATAGTGTGTGTAGGGAACCTGGTGTGGTACAGTATAGAGATGTACTGTGTAGGTTGTGTAGTGTGTGTGTAGGGCACATAGTGTGGAGTGATAGGGATGTAGTATGGGTAGGAAACATAATGTGGGGTGGGATAGGGATGGCAAAATGAGGGGGTGATAAGTGGCAGAGCATGGGAAGTAGTGGGTGACAGTTGACAGAGCATGGGAGGGAGTGACAGGTGACAGAGCGTGGGAGGAAGTGACAAGTGGCAGAGTGAGGGAAGGAGGGGGTGGCAGAGTGAAGGAGTGACAGGTGGCAGAATGACAGTTTGTGGGGGTGGCAGAGTGAGGGGATGACAGTGAGGGAGGGGGTGATTGGTAGCAGAGTGAGGGGGTGACATAGTAAGGGAGGGGGTGACTGGTGACAAAGTGACTGAGGGAGGGAGTGACTGGTGACAGAGTAAGGGAGGGTGTGACAGAGTGACTGAGGGAGGGGGTGACAGAGTGACCGAGGGACGGAGGGTTGTTAGAAATACCTTCTTTTTTTTTCATTTCCCTGGTGTTCCAGTGTCCTGGCTCCCTGGTGGTCCGGTCGTCTGTCTCTCCCATCTGCCCAGGGAGAGAGCCAGCACAGTCTGCAGCCCTGCTGGGTGTGAACTGAAGACTGTGCTGTATCTCGCGAGCTCCAGAAGTCAGAGCGTTCCGAGATACAGCACAGTCTGCAGCTCACACCCAGCAGAGCTGAAGACTGAGCTGGCTCTCCCCCCGGGCAGAAGGGAGGGGCCTCGCACCCGGTGGCACACAGGGCAATGTGTAAGGCACATAGTGTGGGGTGGGCTAGGGATGTACTGTGTGTAGGGCACATAGTGTGGAGTGTGATAGGGGTGTAGGGCACATA